TATTACTGTGGTTTTAGCTATATTCCAATACTTTTTGAACTATTTTTGTTAAACTATTTCAAAAAAGCATATTAATTAGTTAATTAATAAGCCAGGATATCAACATGAAACAGATTTGATTTGCACGTCGGATGATGAAATATACATTTATTGGGGGGAGAAACAAAAGTTTCGATGCGCAAAGGTCCCTAATGAACTAGATATATAGTTTAAATTGGAAAGCGTAGAGAAAAAAAAAAGTAAAATATTGACAAATAATATTAAAAATAACAACGGAATCGCAACGTTCTTTCATACAAAAAAAATATATATTTTCATTATTATTAATTATAAATAATGGTAATGATAATTATATTATAAAATGAGAATTCGTTTGCAAAATGTATAATTTTTATTCCCTTTGATTTATTTATTTCGTTTATCCATAATATGTGGAATAAAATTTTAAAAAAAATAAATAAATATAGAAACACAATTGATCTTAACTGATTGATTCCTAATAAAAGTTATTGAAGTTACAGGTTCATGTGAGGTACTAGTTGGTACTCCTGATTTTCTATTCCTTTTCCAACCATAATCGCAATCAAATTGTATATGAAAAAAACTGAACTACTCGTGTTTCGTTTGTTCTTATTGTTATTGTTGTTGTTGTTAGGTAGCGACGGCGGGAGCTCTGATCAAGTATCCTCCACTGCAGCACCGGCACGGTCTGGTGACGACGACCCTGGGTCTTCGGTTCGTGTTGAGCAGTCGTCACTTCCTGGGTGGTTCGATGAGGGTGAAATGCGTGGCCTCGGTGTCGCCGGTGCTGTGGCGCGGGGACAGGGAATCTGTAGTGCAGAGCCTCCCCATCCAGGACATGAGGGAGGCCCTTCTACTTGGTGAGTGGACGACACTGCTGCATGGTTCGTATCTACACGCGCGCACTCTTCTCTCCTATAAATCTAGTTCTAATTAGTCTTAATTACATTTCTGTATTCTTCAAGAAGCAACACTATGCGTGACATGTGTCATAATTGACAGTCAGTTATACCAACTGTTATCATGATTATATACACTGTTGGTACATCTGACTGTCAATAATGTCTACTTCGTATCACGCTCATCGTTTGTTACAGCATTACATTAACTCTGGGAAAGATAAAATTATAATTTCTGAAAAAAAAAAATTTGATTTAGTATATGAATTATTAACTTTTTTTTCAAAAAAGTCCATAATAAATTTTATAAAAATTAAACTTTTGAGTGTTAATACAGTGAAAATTTTACTTTTACTTTTTTCACAGTGAGACTAAAACCTACAGGTTATTTATACATTTCTATATTACTTATTTTTTATTTGAACTACTTTTGAATAGTTCATAAAGACAAAATTGAGAAAACAATTGTTATTTATTTGTAATTTTGGAGAAGAAAATGAGAGCAGATATCTTCGGATTCAATTAAGTTTTAATATCGATTTCCAACTGATTAGGTTTAAAAATTGTACAATTCTTCCTTCATGAAGGCTGTCTTCAGCTAGACGAATTAATTAAAGCGAATTGGTTAAACGTTCATTTGCTCTAAATATAGACCTATTCATATATAAATTATATAATCTGCAGTTGCGGCAAGAGCGGAATAGAGTTTCGGTTGATGGCTTTAATGTGGGCATCAATTCTGATTACGTGAGAGAACGAGAGAGACATTGAGAGCAGAAGTTGGCTCTCCGGAATGCCCAGGTTCTGTCAATAATGGTCAGAGCCATCTATCCGCATGCATTTTCCATCCACTTTTGCTTAATTAAATTGCCAAAATTGAGAGCAACGTTTATTTATTTACATATCGTTCCGAATAAATACGTTTTCGCGTTTCCATCAATTTCGCGTATAGGAAATTCAATTTCCTGCAGGATGACTGATGCGTCCAGCCCTCACCCCAATTGTGTTTATCAAAATATATCTTGGACAATGATTTGCGCATGAATTTATGCAACATCCAACAATAAACAGCAACGGCGTTTCGTAATCCCTTCGGCAACGCGATAAATTCCCTTTTGATTATTTGCATGAGTTTACTCGCAATATTTACTCGGTCCTTGTTTCGGTGGGAATGGCACGATGACATCGAAAAGGGTGGCGGAGAAGATTACGCTTACGTCCTACTCTTTTGTCTTTCAACGCCAGCGATGTCTGCTTCTGATGGCGAAAGCACGTCTGAGAAGTTAAATCCTGATTAGCACAAAACATTTTCTCACCTGGCGCTTAAACAAACTTTTGAGATGTTAAAAACGTCTCGAAAATTGCGCATAAATCCCAATTCATACATTTGTTGTATTTTTTTACGAACAAAGCTAATAGTTAACAGTAAATATGAAATTATAATAATTTTCAGTAACTTTTCATAATAAAGAAAAAAAACAAACGCAAATTGTATCTTTGTTGGAAACGTTACAGAACTACTCGAATCTTGTTCAGAATTAGAGCGAAAGCACGGCGTTCGCATGAATCGAATAATCCCCTCTGTAATGCCGACAAGCACAAAGGGCCTTCCACTTTTGCTCGAACAAAAACTTCTCGAGAACGTTCGGTCACGCGAAACTTTTTGCACAAGAACAATAATAACGATTTCATTTATTTGATCCGAGCTCTCGACGAACAAAGACACATCTCGAAACGAGTGTTTTTCTCGTTTGATTTTATCATATTTATGTTTAGTTTAAGTATATAACACAACTAAAGTTATGTTTTCAAAGGAATTTCCTGAAATAGATGCAATTAAATATAATAATTTAATAATTTATCAAAGAGGAAAATCATTGTATTGTAATAATTAAAAAACTGACACAACAATAATAATTGAATACACGTTACATTCCTCAAATATACAATTTTTATATGCATCTTTTGTATTAATTAGATCTATTATAGTTTTTAAAGAAAATCACTAAAATGTGAAAATTCTGTTTTTTCGGACGTTAATTTTTAATTACGGATGAAATTATAACACAAATTGAAAACTAGTTACATTCCCTAAATATCCAGCTTTTATATGCATCATTTCTATCCATTCTATTTCTTGCTGTTTCTGAGAAAATCGTTAAAATGCGAAGACAATACTTTTTTCAAGAGCTAATTTTTCATTACTTCCTATTTTAACACGAATTACAGACAAATGGATGAAATCATAGTCATAATTGAATACTCGATACATTCCTGAAATATCTGACTTTCATATGCATCTTTTCGATTAATTCAATCTATTATAGTTTTTGAGCAAATCACTAAAATCTGAAGACACTTCTTTTTCGACCGTTAAAGTCCTGAAATCATGAAACCACATCAATATTTGAATATACGTTACATTTCCCATATATCTAACTTTCATATGCATCGTTTGAATCCATTAAATCTATTAAAGTTTTTAAGAAAATCACAAAAATGTGAAAATTATGCTTTTTCGAATGTTAATTTTTAATTACATCATTTTTAAACGCTAATTACTGACAAACAGATGAAATCATAAAAAAAATTTATAACTATCCACAAATATGTATATTCATCATTTCTATACATTCTTTTTTTCTGTGAAAATCATTAAAATGTAATAATTTTTCAACAGAAATTTTTTTATTACTTTATATTTGAACTGGAATTACACACAAATGGATGAAACCATAATAGTAATTTAATACTCGCTATATTTCTGAAATATCCAACTTCCATATGCATCTTTGAATATATTCTATTTAATATAGGTTTTGAGAAAATTACTAAAATGTGAAAACACTGCATTTTCATTTTTTTTCATATTTTCAAGTTTGAACACGAATTACAGCCAAACGGATGAAATCACTACAATTTATGAATACTTGTTATATTCCACAAAGATCCAGCTTTCATATGCATCTTTTGGATTCATTCAATCCATTAGAGGTTTTAAGAAAATCACTAAAATGTGAACATTCTGCTTTTTCGAAAGTTAATTTTTAATTACATCATTTTTAAACGCTAATTACTGTCAAACAGATGAAATCATAACAAAAATTGATAACTATCCACAAATATGCATATTCATCATTTCTATACATTCTTTTTCTGTGAAAATCAATAAAATGTAATAATTTTTCAACAGAAAATTTTTCATTACTTTATATTTGAACGAGAATTACACACAAATTGATGAAACCATAGTAATAATTGAATACTCGATACATTCCACAAAGATCCAGCTTTCATATGCATCTTTTGGATTCATTCAATCTATTATGGTTTTTGAGCAAATCACTAAAATGTAAAAACACTTTTTCGAACGCTAATTTTTAATTACATCATTTTTAAACGCTACTTACTGTCAAAAGGATGAAATTTTCAACAGAAAATTTTTCATTACTTTATATTTGAACGGGAATTACACACAAATGGATGAAACCATAGTAATAATTGAATACTCGCTATATTCCTGAAATATCTGACTTTCATATGCATCTTTTGGATTCATTCAATCTATTATAGAAAATCACTAAAATCTGAAGACATTTCATCAATATTTGAATATACGTTACATTTCCCATATATCTAACTTTCGTATGCATCTCATTTGAATCCTTTTTATCTATTAAATTTTCTGAGAAAAATACTGAAATGTAAAGACACTGCTTTTTCGAGAGTAATTAGAAAATAATTGAATATATGTGACATACGTGAATCTCTTTTACATCTCAACCAAATGGCTTTCATTCTAATATACAATATGAGATGTTAACGAATGCTCCGAGCACTGAAATGCTCTCTCATGTTTCGCATATTCAAATGCGAGAGAATAAACTTTTCGACAATTCCATAAGTGGTTTTTAATCAAACGTAACGGGCATTAATAATATCTCGGAGCGACATAAATCTTAATTAATACCCAACGGGCGAAACTCCCCCCCTTTTACTATTACTAATAATAATATTAAGAAGAATTGGGTTTCGCCTGGGACCTTGTCGAATCCAAATTGGTTCTGTGTGTTATGAAGTCGTTGCCCCAGAGGGCATTACAAAATCTATGGTCGCGTGACGCACTTATATAATACATGCGGCATCCAGTTTTCCCTCCCCCCTGGGTTTCGGCAGACGACAACGACGCACGACGCTTAATACATTTAACATTATGTGGGGATTTTGGGGGGAGTTATAGACGAGTGGAATATTATTAATTGCCTTTTACATAACCGAACGCGAATGGAACGGTACCAGTTCCGATGCAAAATGCACTGGCAATTTAATCCGTACAATTAATTAATTTCTGAATGCGGACGTCACGTGCGCGCTTCATTAAGCTTCATTATAATTTACAACATCCCAAAAATAATATCTCTATATAATTTAATTTAAATAAAATTTCATTACATGCGGTGCAATATAAATCTTTAAAGAAAATACTGATTATTTTTATTGTTCAAATTATTATAATTTCTTCAATATTCATTGTTACTAATTATAATTACTTATCAAATGCAATAACTTTGTTGCAATAACTATAGAGAATAATATGATGATAAGTTAAAAGTTTACAATTTTTAGTAATTTGTCAAATGTAAAGTAATTAAATTATTAATTTTATCCTCACATTTTTGTTAATATCTCAATTACCACTAATGCTATTAATAATATTTAAAATGTAAATTGAAGCTAAAACTATAGAGAATAATATGATGATAACTTAAAAGTTGTATCATTTTACAATTACATATTTATTGATTATGTAAAAAAAAACAGAAATATCATAAGGTGTACTAATTACATCTAAAGTTTAAATTACCTTAAGTTGTCGGCATTACCTTTAAGAAGTTCATATAAATTACACGAATTTTCTTTTCTTTTCCCCAAACCTTTTTCCTGTCGTTTTTCTTCACCCTCGCTCCTCGAAATCGTTTCCATTGTTGCGTTGAGGCGCAGAAGGAAAAGTAATACAAAGGTAATCATCTGTTCGGAATGCGTTCGAGGGTGAAACGCGCCGCAAAACATTTTCATCGAAACAAAACGAGAATGAAAAGAAAAAAAACAAATAAATGAGCATAAATCAAATAAAATGACTAAATGAGAATCTATGTATTATTATATAATATTTCCAGTGAGTTATGTGTAATGTTGGTAATTTTATTGTAATTGTATTGTTTTCTAAGTAATCAGTGTATCTGTATATTATTTTTTTGTATGTTGTTTCAGTGAAAAGCGGGGCTAAGGAAGCGTTCGTTCCTGGTATTGGAATTCTTGTTGCGGCTGCCTTGATGCGAATCGTGAACTTCTGAAGCTGCCGATGAAGGAAACCGGCGTGTTGTGTGTGCGTTAAGTGGTGTTATTGTTGATGATGATGATGACTTAACGGTGATCCGAGTGTACAGCAAAGACCGCACGAGTCTTTAGATAACCCAGCATAAGTGATATTACATAACTACTCTAATTATTTCATTAATAATCAAAAAAAAAAAGAAAAGAAAGAAGTATATAAATATAAATACGCAGATATTGTAAATAATTTGAGAGAAGAAAACCCCTCTATTAATTTTTTTTTTGGTTTCATTTTAGGGGATGCGTAAAATTGGATTGATGTAATTGTAAATACTATTTGGCTCCCATGTACATACTAATTTTAGGCTAATTCGTGATTAATTTAAAAGGCTTCGTACATAATTTCCAAACCCCCCATGTTTGAAAACTCCAATTTCGAGAGCGTAACATTTCTTTCTCTCGCTATTTCCTCCCCGAAAATGTGTGCTAACAAATAACGCTTATTAATCTTTGCGCGCACGTGGATATAATTCCTGCATTTAATGTTCATTTCTACAGATTCACACACACTTATATACGCACACACATACTTATAGTCTGTGTAAGGGTTGATTTACTGCATCCCCTGTTTTCCGGATTCAGGACCTAACTAGGACGTGTTTAATGATCGCATTGTACAGCTTCATCATCAAAGCGAGGAAGCAAGGAATTATACAATTTTTATTTTTGTTGTTTCCAAACATAGACTGAAAAAAAAATGAAATTAAATGAAAAATTGTGAATACGGTAGTCGTCTCGTATAGCTGAAAACGAAAAATATAAATAAATGAATAGTATACTAATTTGTTACATATAAGCTTCTGCACATGTGTATATATTAATAAATAATTATATTTAGTGGACAAAAAAAAATGCAATCAATCGAAGAAGATGATGTAAACAACCCTCGAAGTTATTTAATTTGGAATATTTACCAATTATATAAATACATATATATATATATTATACAGAAAAAAATAAATATATATTAGCTACTAAGTGGAGAAGAAATATATATATATGAACGAAAGAACAACAATTTTTGGATCTATTATTTGAGAAATAAAGTGTGGAATTCCTGTCTATCTAACTGCAATGTTTTCTTTCTATCCTTTTTTTTCTATTATTTCGTCCTCTTCGTTTCGTTTCCCGGTCGACTTTCCAAAGCCATCCCAGATCTCATCTCCCCCACCGTTCGGCCATTGTTTATTGACTTTGATCCGTTTCCCCCCGCATCCTAAACCAACATCGAGGGTGGTCTCCCGGTGGCTTCGAGCCGCAGTGTAATCGAGTTTTAACAAAACAATTGTCGCAAGGACGTCGAATTTATCTCCACGGAATTGATCAAACACCGAGTTTGTTTGCAGTCGAACGCCGCCGCCGCCGCCGGAATTAATTGCTCATAAAGGCGAAGGCATTAGCTGTCGTCGAAGGATTTATCGACGGCTTGCACTTTCTCTGCATTCGGCACATCAAAGGACACCTTTTGTCCTGATCCCGGTCCCTTCTACTCTGCGGAATTACCGACGCTCAACACAATGGATTTATGTCGGTACGTATACTTAGCGTAGGCTCTTTAATTACTTACACATAGTGTTTAGTTGTTATAGGTTTCTATAGAATCGGATCATCAATAATAACAATCCTATACTGTTGATATATCTAGTTGCTAGGAGCGTTACTAAGCACGCTCTTCAATTACTATGACTGTTACTAAGGACGCTATTCGGTTGCTATGATAGTTACTGAGCATCCTTAGTTCAATCGTTATGACAGTTACTAGAAACATACTTCAGTTACTTTGATAGTTACTAAGGACGCTATTCGGTTGCTATGATAGTTACTGAGCGTCCTTAGTTCAATTGTTATGGCAGTTACTAGAAACGTACTTCAGTTTCTTTGATAGTTACTAAGGATGCTATTCGGTTTCTATGATAGTTACTGAGCATCCTTAGTTCAATTGTTATGACAGTTACTAGAAACGTACTTCAGTTACTTTGATAGTTACTAAGAATGCTCTTTGGTTATATTAATTCAGATTATTATGTTAGGATGGGAAAAAGATGAAATAAATCACACACAGGATTATGGATAAAAACAATCATTCTTCAGTTGATATGACAGTTACTAAGGATGCTCTTCAATTACTATGATAGTTACTAAGGGCGCTATTCAGTTGCTATGATAGTTACTGAGCGTCCTTAGTTCAATTGTTATGACAGTTACTAAAAACGTTCTTCAGTTTCTTTGATAGTTACTAAGGACGCTATTTGGTTATATTAATTCAGATATTATGACAGGATGGGAAAAAGATAAAATAAATCACACACAGGATTATGGATAAAAACAATCATTCTTCAGTTGATATGACAGTTACTAAGGATGCTCTTCAATTACTATGATAGTTACTAAGGGCGCTATTCGGTTGCTATGATAGTTACTGAGCGTCCTTAGTTCAATTGTTATGACAGTTACTAGAAACGTACTTCAGTTTCTTTGATAGTTACTAAGGACGCTATTTGGTTATATTAATTCAGATTATTATGTTAGGATGGGAATAAGATGAAATAAATCACAGACAGGATTATGAACAAAAAGAATCATTCTTCAGTTGATATAGCAGTTACTAAGAATGCTCTTCAGTTGCTATGATAAATCACAGCCAGAATTATGGAGAAAAAAAATCATTCTTCAGTTGATATAGCAGTTACTAAGAATGCTTTTCAGTTGCTATGACTGTTACTAAGGACGCTCTTAGGTTGTTACTGCAATTACTAAGAATGCTCTTCAGTTGCTATGACAATTACAAAGGACAATCTTCGATTATTAAGACAGTTACCAAGGACGGTCTTTAGTTGCTATGACTGTTACTAAGGACGTTCTTCGGTTGTTACTGCACTTACTAAGAATGCTCTTCAGTTGCTATGACAATTACAAAGGACGCTCTTCGATTGTTAAGACAGTGACCAAGGAAGCTCTTTAGTTGTTATGACAGTTCCTAAGGACGTTTTTGAGTTGATATGGCAGTTACTAAGGATGCTCTTCAGTTGGTATGGCAATTGCTAAAGATGACTCATCCAGTCTATGCGTCTATTTCTCGTTCATAATATGTAACGTATAAAAGAAGCAGAGAAGGAATTTGTAGAATTGGAGAATATAAAACTTTCTATTAAAAATTCATAATTTCTCATCTAAACCTAAATATCAATC